CCCTCCCCTGCTCACATTGTCTCTCTCTCTCTCAAAAATGAATAAAACATTAAAATATATATATATATATGTGTGTATGTGTATGTATATAAAGAAATCTCTGCAATTTTATAAAAAATGGAATTGTGCTTTTTAAATCTAGGTATTTTCCATAGAAAATATATGTGAATTTCTTGCCATGGTATTATATATTTTACAAAAAACTCTTTTTAATAGCTGCTTAGTACTTTAATGTTTGCATATATCATAATATATTTAGCCAAATCTATACTATGGGACATTTATTTTTAGTTTATTTATGTAGAGAATTCTATAATGAATATTCTTTCTCATATAATTTTGTACAGTTTTGTAATTTTAGCCTTAGGTCTAATCATTTTTAAAAGAATTTCTATATCCAATGGTATATATTTTTTAAAAGTTTATTTTGAGAGAGAGAGAGATCATGCATGCATGCACACACAAGAGCAGGGGAGGGGCAGAGAGGGAGAGAGAGAATCCCAAGAAAGCTCCATGGCTTCAGCACAGAGCTAGACACAGGGCTAGATCTCAAGAACCATAAGATCATGAGCCAAAATTAAGAGTCAGATGCTTATCCAGGTGAGCCACCCAGATGCTGCAATCTGTATATATTTTAAGGTTGTTGATACATTATGCCAATTGCCTTTCATAAAGGAAAGACCAAATTACACCCATCGTAAAATGTAAGAAGGTGCCCATTTTCTCTCTTGCTTATTCAAACTAAATACAGTAGTTCCTCCCTTGTCCGTGGGAAAAGCAGATGATCTTCCTCCTGACATATTATCAGAAGGTCAGTGGTAACCTTAAACTATGCCACAGTGCCTACATCATTTGCCTCATTTTACCTCCTCTCTAGGCATTTTATCATCTCACATTATCACAACTAGGGTGAGAACTTTACAATAAGAGATTTTCAGAGCGAGACCACAGTCACATAATTTTCATTACAGTATATTCTTCTAATGCTGTATTTTATTATTAGTTATTATCATTAATCTCTTCCTGTGCCTAACTTACAAATTAAATTTTATCATAGGTATATATGCATAGAGAAGCACATAGTAAATATAGGGTTCAGTGCAATCTGTGGTTTCAGGCATCTCCTAGGAGTCTTTGGAACATATACCCTATGGATATGGGGAAGCTACTGAATTTTAATTTTTGACAGTATTTACAAAACCAATTTTTATCTATCAGTGGGCTAATAAACATTCGTACTGCCTGGGTATCTGACAGTGACAAACACAAATTCTCTTTTGAAGAATGAATCTTCTTCAACCCATGACTCAAAGGATTCTCACTGATAATGTTTCACGCATGCACACACACAATTACAAAACTTAAGGAAACAGAAAAGCATTAGCAAAATCAAAAAGGACAGTCATACTCACAAAGATTTTAAAAATCTGAATTACAGATACACCATACAAAAATAAGTACCTTTAAAAAATAAAAGAGGGGGTTCTGATGGCTCAGTCAGTTAAGTGTCCAACTCTTGGTTTTGGCTCATTGGGTTTGAGCCCCACATCAGGCTCCACACTATAGTGTGGAGCCTGCATAGGATTCTCTTCCTCTCTCTCTGCTCCTCCCTTGCTTGCTCTCACTCTCTCAAAATAAATAAAGAAATAAACATTTAAAAAATAAATAAAAGGCTTAAAATTATGTGTAAGAAATAACTGTAAAAATGTGTTTTTTAAAGGGACCAAATAGGATTTACAGAGATTAAAAAAGCAAAAATCAAAATTAAAAACTCATTGAGGACATTAAATGATAGCAGAGACAGGTAAGGAGAAAATGGGCCAGCTAAAAGAGAATTCTGAAGTGATGTTCAGCATTTGACACAGAAAGACAAAGATTAAAAAAAAAAAACATGAAAAAGGACAGAGTGTCTGACAAACAGCTAGCTCATCAAAGTCTTGTACAGAGTTAATGGGATGGGGAGAAAAAATACACAAAAAGCTAAGTCTGAGAACTTAAGAAAATTAAAAATAGGAATAATCAGATACAATGTAGGATTGGGGTTAAGCATCCACACCTAAAAAGAATTCTAGTGATTCCATGATTCTATGCAGAATATTAAAGACAAAAAGATCTAAAAATCAGCAGAGAGAAAAGACAGATGGAGTGACAGTCTACCAGCTGACATCTCAACCGCATCAAAGGAAACTCGAAGACTACAGAATAATGCCTTCAAAAATGCTGTGAGAAAAAAAGTCAAATTAAAATAGTACATTCAGTGAAACGACCTTCTAAGAAAAACATTATTCCATTGAGACGATCTCCAAAGTCAAAATCTGATTCTTTGAAAAAAATATCAAAACTGACAAACTTCTGGCAAGAAAAAAACAACCACCACAAAAGCAACAAAACTAATATCAAAAACGAAAACAGACTCATAGCTACAGAAAGTTAAAAAAATTGATAAGCAAAAATTAAAAATACTCCTCTGAACAATCATTACACTAGCAAAAGAAATTAAGCACGGTTTAAGGTTGCTTCTAGTCTGGGGCAATTATGAACAATGATGCTATAGTTATGTCCATGTTTTCTTTGTCCATGTTACGTCCATGTTTCTTTGTATACAATATTGATGATAGGTCCTAAAATAACTAAATTTATGACTTACATGTTATTTTGCATGTATTAAACATTACATAATGATAAATAATGTAAGAAGCCTTCTTTGCCATATTAATAGGTAATGAATGGTATTATTACCTTAGTTTCACTTTTTGGTTACTATTGGTGGTAAATGTTTCTATTTTTTCTTTTCATTTTTTAATTTGAATGTTATTGTAAATTGCTCTTGATGTTACTTGCTCATTTTTCAAACTGTATGGTACGATATTTTGGATTTGCAAAAATCATTTATTAATAATTATACTAATCTTTGTACTTATTAATGGAAATACATCTTTTTAATTTGCCCCAGTTTGTTTTTTACCTTTAAATTATTTTAATGGTTGGTTTTTTAACTTTCTTTTTTATGGTCATAAATTAAAGATATCACTGCAAAAAATTCCAAAAAAACAAACCAAACGAACAAAAAACTCTAAAGTAAACCCTTTTAATCCTCTTTCCTATTAACTGTTGTTAATTTTTGTGCATGCCTATTATGATATATAATATATATATATTATATATAGTGTGTAACTATATTATGTATTTATGTTGACTATATATATTAACTATATATAATATATACATATTTATATATTAAGTATATGTGTATACATATTTATATCAGTATGTAAAATTATCTATATATTCACACATGTACCTTTACAAAAAGATATTTTTTCTGTTTAACAGAGCACATAGCACATTTTTCCCCAGTAAATAAAGTTTTACATCATCATGCATAGGGGCACATGTACCCCAATGTTCATAGCAGCACTCTCAACAATAGCCAAAACATGGAAAGAGCCTAAGTGTCCATCAATGGACGAATAGATCAAGAAGATGAGGTTTATCTATACAATGGAATACCACATGGCAATGAGAAAGAATGAAATCTGGCCATGTGTAGCAACATGGATGCAACTTGAGGGTGGTATGCTGAGCGAAATAAGTCAGGCAGAGAAGGACAGATACCATATGTTTGCAAGTATAGGAGGATTAGGAGGAACTTAACGGAGGACAATGAGGGAGAAGAAGGGGGAAAATAGTGGGGGGGAGGGAGGGAGGCAAACCATGAGAGATCTTGAATGCTGAGAACAAACTGAGGGCTGATGGGGGCGGGGAGGGGAAGGGGGTTGACGGTCATGGAGGAGGGCACTTGTGGGGATGAGCACTGGGTGTTATATGGAAACCAAATTGACAATAAACTATTTTAAAAAATAAAATAAAATAAAAGGTTTTACATCATCATTTTAAAATATTTTAAGGGTGAGGTGCCTGGTTAGCTCAGTTGGTAAGCATCCAACTCTTGATTTCTGTTCAGGTCATGATCTCACAGTAGTGAGATGGAGCCCCACTTTGGGCTCCCTGCTTAGTGCAGAGGCTACTTGATTTTCTCTCTGACTCTTCCTCTCTCTCTCTGTCTCCCCCTCCCCCTCTTCCCATTTGTTCTCTCCCTCTCTCTAAAATAAAAATTTTTTTAAACATTAAAAATATTTTAATGGTATTCCATTGTGTACATACATTAATCATTCATTCAACAAATACTGATTGAGTCCCTTAGTAAGTGTATAGCAGCATCATTTTATAGGCCTTGGGGGCAAAACAATGCAAAGAATTCCTGCAAAGGTGGAGTTTGAATGCTACTGGGGAAAATACACAGTAAACAAATATTTCATGTAATACAAGGTAACCATAGGTACTAGGAAGAAAACAGCAAGGAAGAGGATGCAGAGTAATGGGTTGGTGTGAGGGGAGAGGGTACTCAAGGAAGGCCTCTTACTGAGCAGAAACATAACACCACCATGCCAATATTTTGGGGAAAATCATTGTAGGCCGAGAAAGAATAAAGGCAAGTAGCTAAGGCAAAGCTTACAAAAGAACACCTATATGATATTGGTTAACATTTAGGTTACTTCCAAATACGTACAATATTAAACAAATTTGGAGAGAGAATTCTTGTCAAGACTTCCTAAATTCTTGCAGATGTTCTATTCTTCCTGTAATTTTCTAACCCACTTTTTCCCTGTTGTATGTTCATGGCTATGCTAATAGGAAAATATGAAATCATACATTAGAGAGCATAAATTTGAAGTCATCTTACTCCATAGGCCTAATTCATATTTTTAAGAGGAAAAATAAAAGTTTTAGGAAGAAAAAAAGTTTTTAAGAAATAACAGAATATAGAATGTTTAATTTAGAGGGGAATGTTTAGAACTATGACAAAAAAAATTGAAATGACTTGCCTTTAGTTGTACTGCTACTTAATTCTTATTATGCCATTTTAATATCGTGGAAACTTGAATAAAATCACTTAAAAAATAAGAACTTCGACACATATTTTTTTAAATCTCCTTTAGGTTGCTGATGTCAAGCCTTTCTCAGGACCTTTTAATGTCTTGCCTGTGAAGACAAAATGGAGTAACATTGGCTTTCATATCCTTCTATTTGATCTGGAAAACCTTGTTGAACTTTTGCTGCCAACTCCAATCTGTGACGTTGACCCTTCCAATTCATTCTACGGTAGTGAGATCCTGAGAAGAGCTAAAAGCACAGTTGAGAAGAAAACCCTGACGCTGAAAAGAAATAAAACTGCCTGTGGTTCTCTCTCAGCAGAGGCACAGGTGAAACCTGTTAGTGAGAACCCAGCCCAGGGAGATAATACTGTCAAATCCTTAGAAGAAAATGATGGCATTAAAAGGCACAAGAAAATAAAGAACTCCAAAAAGATGCACCCTAAGCCATCAAGAAAAGTGGATGCCAACATCACAATAGACACAGCTAAATTGTTCCTCTCTTGCTTTTTGCCGTGGGGAGTAGATAAAGAATTCGATAACCTATGCATTAAGCATCTCGATATTTTAAAGCTTCAGGGTTCTGTTTCTTTAGGACTTGCCTCAAATGAAGATCACTTATCACTGATGCTGCCGGGTTGGGATTTATGCAATGTGGAAATGAAAAAAGACTATTCAAAAGTAAATTTATTTTCCAAAAAAGTTTTGGACTTGTCAAATAAATACATGTCCACTCTTCCAAATCAGGTTGTGATGCCAAGAGGACTGGAAAATAATTGTGATTCATTGCAAGAGTCAAACACCCTAAACACAATAGTTTATTTATTGAGCAGACTATTTGCAGTTAATAACTTAGTTAACACACCTTTAGAGTTGGCATGTGGAATTGACAGGTAAGACATGCATAAAGATTTTGACTATTGTTATTTGGGACATTAAAAAATTATCATTATTTGCTGTATTTATTCAGCTCTCTAACCTCCCACCCTCCTTTCCTTCCTCTTTTCTTCCTTCTTTCAGGTGAAGAGTAAATAGTCAGCAACTCCTTTAGCTTAAAATACATTTAAGAAAAAAATTTTCTATTAATTCACTGAGATTAGAGGATAATCTGGGCAATATATATATATATTTTAAATTTATTCATTCAACAAATATCTATTCCTCTCATAATAAGTGCCAGGAAAATCATAGTGCTGGATGCTGAATGAAACAATAGATAGAGAGATAGACAGATGGATGATAGATAGACTGATTCATACACACCTCGAAATCCATTTCACTTGCTGTGAATTAATTATGAACAAAGGACATTTAAGTAAATGTCAATGATAATGTATTTCATATGTCATTAGGAAAAGTTTTAAAATTTTATACCTCAAATCCCACCATTTAATTTATACTTTGGTGTATTAAACTAGAGGAAGCTATCAGTAATTCATTTACAAAAAGTACAGTTTAGTAAAATTAGCTATTGTTTAATATCTATTAGTCACCATGTAAATACCTATATGATTTCATTTAATATGCAAAGCTGGCATATAGATATTATTAATTTGCTCTTTGTAAAGATGAGAAGATTGAGTTTTTATTGAGAACTTAACTTCAAGATAAATTCAGTTCCTTAGAGGCGGATTCAAAGCTGAGCACCATTCTAATTCCATAGCCAGGTTAATTACTAAATTTAACTATGTGTTTACCTTTTTCCACTGCTAAAATCAGGTATAGTTTTTCATTATCTGATGTAGAGGACTGAATTCAGGTGCTTGTTGAATATGTCCTTAGCATTACACTAGCCTACAGAGGAAAAATAAATACATTTCTCATTTGGGTAGGAACTGATTAAAATGATACAGATGAAACAAATAGAAACACTGAAGTAGGGTGAAGGAATGAGGAAACATATTTGTAGTATAGATAAGTATTTTGGTGGTCAGAGTAAAGAGAATACTTAGTGTGAGATGAAACCAACAGAAAGCCTTTACAGAAGAGACATTGTTTGGAGTGCCCACTACAAGGTGGTAAACAGTCCCTGACATTTCTGTTCTGTGACAGGAGCTCAATTCAACACAGATCTGTGCCAGGCACCATGTAATAGGCACATTTTCTGCCTTCAGTAGACCTAGCAATTTTGGTAGGAAGTCTAGGTGGATTATGTTGGATTCAGTATTATGTTTCCTTCCGTTATACTGCTTCTATACTACATTATTTCCCATTTTCTGTTCTGTGGCCTTAAGAGGGACGAAACAGATTGGTAAATTTCTGTGACTTATATACTTAGTTTTCCTCTATTTTCTTCTTCTGTTTATAAACATAAAATATAAATATATGTTATATGTACACATGCACACATTTAAATTTCAAATAGGCTTCTTTTACATTTCTCTTCTATTGCTAAGAAAATTACAAAGTATGGTTAACAAAAATCCCGTAGGCTTGAAGCCAGAAAACCTGGGAATAAATCCTGGTTTTGTTGTTTAACTAGCCATGTAGCTTTGGACATATTTGGAATGCTTTGGAATATTAGCCCCTCTGGGCCTGGCTTTCCTTTAGGATATGAGGTATGGGGTAAGTGGCTACTAAGATTTCTTCAAATTATTAAAAAATTAGGCTGCTAACAAATTATATTTGCCTAATCATGATCCCACTAAGCCAAGGAGTTATTGTTTGCTGGAGGTTTTCATTCTGAGTTTGCTCCTGAAAAGGAGTACAGGATGTAGAGGTTGTGTCCGGTAGCTTAAGGGGATATCAGGGGCTTGCAGCATGCCTTGCACTAAATGGCCTTAAAGTTGTCATACATTAGTTCATTCTTTGCAAAATTCTTCATTAAAAAAATCGTTGAATGGAGGTGTCAGGATTAGAGACTGCCTCCCTAAATCAGTCACTTCAATTTGATCTGCTGTCAGGGACTGTGTATCAGTTTTTTAGGAAATAAAAATAATGTGTATTGGATTTGTCACACCAAATCCTTCCAACAGATTTGGCCGTTTTACTAACATTTCACTGTGGTTGTGAAGGTTGAGAAAATCCTGGTGTGCTTAACAACTGGGTTCATGATGTCAATGCATTTTAAGGAAAGAGCCATCTGCCTATGAGAGTATTCCTGAACAGTTACTCAAAGTTCCTATGATTGAATCACTGGGACTGGTGTAAAGCCTGCCTTCATTGGGTCCTTACTGTACCTGGGGAGAACTCTTTGGCAGATATCAACATTTTCAGACTAAAAAAATTATTACATTAGTCACAAATTACATGACCTAACATAGTGGAGCTCCTTCTAGAAAAGTGAGTCACAGGTATTTCCGGTATAAACTAAGATTCACAATTCAACTGAGGTTAAGGTTTTAGGTAGGAACAAAGTGGGGAAATAATATTTACCAAAGACATTAATGTGGACAACATTGCTAAAAATAATCTGTGTTCAGTTCCTGAATTTTTTGAAGTGGCTGTGCACTCTTCATTGATTTCTAAAAATACTTTTCATACATCTTTAATAATATCCTTTGTTTTCCCCCACAGATCTTTCAAAATGGAATCTGTGCACAACAAGGCGAAAAGTCTTGGGAATGAGATTTCAAATATTTCAAGCTTCTATGGTTACTTACGAAATGGTAAGGAAGTTACAGATATAGCCTCAGTGTTTTTTCTTCTATGAAATAAAATAACTTGCCTATCCATAACTGGATAGCACTCAACAATTTAGAAGGAACATTATGTGTATTTATTGTTTGATTTAGTCTTCATTTCACACATCCATACTTTTGTATTCTGCCTGGAGTTTGAATATACATGATTTTTTATTAAAATAAATAACATTATAGGACATGTAATGTGATGAATTTCATCAAATGATCTTTGAAATGCCTGAACATCTGAAACTTTTCAGCAAAAGGAATATTTGGTTATTAAATTAAGGTCACATGTGATTTATGGGAAAGATTATTATATCAGTAACTTTATTAGCAAATAAGTAATTATTATATTACAGAATTTTATAGCTTGTTTAGAAGGCAATAACGATCTTCGCATTCTTCTGAGAATAGTCTTAGTGCTTAGATTTTCTTTTGATGCCAAATAGCTAATTTATCCTCAAAATCTGCTGTTCTAAGTTAAAAAAAAAATTTAATGTTTTTTAATGTTTATTTTTGAGAGAGAGAGACAGAGAGACAGAGATAGAGACAGAGAGAAGCAGAGAGAGAGGGAGGCCCAGAATCCGAAGTAGAATCCAGGCTCTGAGCTGTCAGCATTGAGCCCAACCCACAGACTGTGAGATCATGACCTAAACCGAAGTTGGACCTTCAACCTACTGAGCCACCCAGGTGCCCTACATAAATTTTTGACATATCAGTTAATGGCAAATCTGCCCTTCCAGTTGTTAGCACCAAGAACTTTGGTGTCATTTTGACTTTCCCCTTTTTCTCACACCCCATATTCTAATCTTTCAGTAAACACGTTGGTTCTACCTTCAGAATATATTCCAGACTCTGACTGTTTCCCTCTACCTGCATGCCCCGCACCCCCCCCCCCCCCCCCCCCCCCCCCCCCCCCGCAGCCTTCATCCCCTCCTCCCTGGACTACAACAGAAGACTCCTAACCACCCCTGTGCTCCTATTCCTGCTTCACAGGCTCTGTTCATGATAAGGCAGCAAAAACGACCTATTGGAAACTAAGTCAGAACCTTATGCTTCTGTTTAACACCTTTCAGTGGCTTCTGTTTCCCTGTGAATAAAAGCCATAGTCTGTAGGACTGCATACAAGACCCAGTATAACTTGGCTGTCTGCCTCTGTCAATGTGCACATGCCCCCATCTGACTTAATCTTTTTGGAGTTCCCCTTGCTGAGCCTGCTCCAGCTACACTGGACTTTTTACTCTTACCCAAACATAGGGCCTTTGCTCTGGCTATTTCCACTGCCTAGAATGTTCTTTCCTCAGATTCCAGAGGTCAACCTGCCATCCCCCACCTCTACCGTACATCCTTCATTCTTGCTCAAATGCCATCTCGTCGATGAAGGTGTTCTCCTTTTCCCCCAGCAACACTCTACCCCATTCCCTGTTTTACTGGATTCTAAATTTCTTTTCATTCTCTAATATAATTTTTTTTTTCATTTTCCATCTATGTCCTGCTACTAAGATCAAATTTTCATGGGGGTTATTATTTATTTGTGACAGTTTTTTTTTTCACTGCTGTGCCTCCAGTTCCCAGAGCAATGACTTCAAGGAATTAAGCAAATACCTTTGGATTAATGGTTGAATACTAAATAGAATAATGGTTTTGGAAATAGATGGCTGACGTTTAAGATCTAGTTCTGCCACTTACTACTTATGCAACTTGGGGCATGTCTTTTACTCCTTTGAAAGTATATTAACTACATCTGTAAAATGGGAATAAGATTCTAGACTTGACATGCACCGTGCCTCCGAAGTTGTGCAGTATATGATCAATACATTGAGATACCTTGAAGAATGGTATATAGGGCCCTTCTCAAGGCTGTTGAAGAGAATATCTGGAATATTATAAAGTGAGAGTTAAAAACTTCCAATTTTTGAGTGCCTAGTATGTTCAAAGAATTATGCTAATGATTTTACATATTATCTCAATATATAAACAACCTCACACAGTAGGAGGGACTATCTCTATTTTACCCTTAGGAAAACTGGGGCTCAGGGAAGTTAGATGACTCACACAGAGGCAAACATCTGTGAAGCAGAGAGGCCAGGAATCTGGTCCCAACCACTTGCTCTTTCCGTTATGTCAGCACACTTCTCAGTTATGATTACAACCATTGTCCCCTCTAAATGGTCCCAGTCTGGGTTGTCTCCCTTCTCCTTAAACTGTAGCTCTTAATAGGCCATTTATCCTCATTTTCATTTTTTATGACATTAAGAAAGGGATTAGAATTTAAGGCATAATAGGAGTGGTTTCTGCAGCGACCAAGAGAATTGTTAACCAGAGCCATGGAGGCTCCAGGTGCCCCAATCACAAGCCAAGAGTAACCAGTGTCATTATTGAATAATTTCCCTCATGTTTAGATGTTGTATTTATAGTATTTAAGATTCACCTAGGTCCTAAGGAAACATGGTTTTGTGTTTTAATAATTGGAATATGGGAAGTAAAGGGAAAGGAGGGATTCACTTTATGCTATTCACTCAATAAAGTCAAAGCCTGGAGAATAAAATAATACTCTGAGGTGCTCGTTCTAAACAGTTGACAGGAACCAATACCCACTTCTGTCAGCAAAAATGGTGACTCGGTAATATTGGTAAGCCTGGGGTGTTTTCTTTTTATCTTTCCCCCTGATGTTGCAATTAATTCTTTAGCTTACTGACATTGCCAAGAAAAGTTGGCTCTCATTTCTACCTCATATTAAAATTTTAACATCACATTAAAGTGCACTGTGAAGTACCCCATGATGCCAGTAAGTAGTTACAGTTGAGACCAATACTTAGCTTTGATGGTAGAGTCACAGGGTCAACAGAATGAGAGTGGGGAAAGGAGAGAGATCAAAAGAAAATTTTTTTCTTACCTGCTGTGCTCCTGAAGAAATAGAAAATATGACTTCAAAATCATAGTGTTCTATCATACTTACATGTTTTATGCACCGATCTTGGTCATTTAAAATTCACATCATATGTTCCTTCAGGGAAAAATAATGATAATAATGAGTCGGAAGTTTCTTATATATTTCTTTAATATTCTCAGTTGACATTATGCTCAATATTTTCTATCACATTTCCTTTGACCACTGGTATGATATATAAAATATACATAAGATATTTATAAAATATATATATACACACATACATATCTATTAATATAAAAATGGTGATTCTATGAAAACCATACTGGACTAATACTAACTTAAAAAGTTGATGCCAGAATTTCAAACACATATTAATACATTAATTTAAATAGACAATTACAGTAATTTTCCCTCCAGTGCAAGCCGTCATCATTTTTCCTTATCTCACTTGCAGAATCTGGCACCTAGATAATATACTCTAGCCATCAGAAAGCCTTAATTGATCAATTTTTCATTTGGATGATAATATGTACATTTTCAATTAATGAAAAGGCACTTATTAAGTGCTTTTTTGTGTAGGGGGGCTGGACATTCTACAGATCAATTTAAATAAACCAAGCCCTAGCTCACTCTTAAAATTTCACATTGAACATTAAGGCATATAGATAGAAAGGACATTCAAAAGGGCAAATTTAAAAGAAACAATACATAACAAAATGAGTCAAATTAAAACATAAGTGCTATATCTATTGATCAGAGTAGTATAGCTGGGTAAGGACAAATCAAAGGAAGGCTTTTATATGATTTCTGTGTGATAGATACTGATTCATAGCAAGGTAGTATTTCAGGACCTATTTGCATGAGAAAGGAATTGTAAAAATTTGGCAGTCTGTTTTGGGCGGGAGTATTAGTCATTGCATTCTGTTGGCAAATGTACAAAGATGGGTTTAAGGTATAAAGATGAATATGATTTGATATGAATATGTATTAGTATAATCATTAGAAATGTGTATAAATTAATAAATGGTTCTTGATTCTTGTTAGACATGAAAATCATCTGAGGTACTATTACAAAGTACTAATGCTTGCCCTCCCCTCCTCCCAGTGCCTATTAAATCAGAATCTCTGAAAGATGGAAACTGGACATTGGTGTTTGTGGAAAAAATGCTCCCCAAGTGATTCTAATATGCAGCCGGGGGTGAAGATCATTGGGTTGCATCCATTTTTAAATACTCTCAAGATATAAAATGTGTTCTATATATTTCTAGGTAAAAGTGAATCCCATATACCTGAAGCTGACATTTCACTTTTGAAGCTAATTTCCTGTTGGAGAGACCAGTCTGTGCAGGTATGATATAGTGCAATGTTCCTGAGGTTATCAGGAGAGCTCCTTGCTGTCCCTTTCTATCCAGTGATTAGTTCATTCATACTCTACTTAACCTGAGAGTACAAGTAAGAGGTACTGCTGTCCTCACAAAATATTTCCTCCCAGGCATTTTATTTAACAGGACTAACACAGAGACTAATAATGAGGGGGGAAAGTGGGAAATGACATATGCAGGATGTACCAGGTTAGGTGGTATGAATAGAGGGGACTGAGGAGGGGATGTTCCTGTTGTTACAGGTAACTTACTGCCTATTGAAGTGTTGTATTGTGGCAGAATTGTCTATTGTTTGATTTCAACATGTGCCATGAAAAATAAGTCCCTCAGCTTGGGAATTTGGTGTGCCTACTTAGGAATCATTTTTCTATCTTACGAGTACCTCATCTGTAAGCTGTTTTTTAAAGCTGGTTTCCTGAAGGCCCAATTTAAGTCTTTCTATCTCTTTTAAGGCTTTTGGGGATCCTAAAAGCTTACCAGGTGGCTTGTACGACATACAATAAATATCTGTGCATTGATTAGATGAATATTTATTGGAACTTTATTCTTCTTCATGAGCTTAAGAAATGTCAAATTTGCAAGACAAGCATAGCAATAATTCCAGTTACAAATGTTTATTCTTAGTTATAGGAAAACAAAGAAGTTACTCAGAACACATGTGGGCTCAATGCCACAAAACCAAATAAACACAGTTGAGAATGGTTATTGAACCTTCTTACCGTGGCCTACAGGTTTCTACATGATTTGCCACTAGCCTAATTTCTTCACTCTTCATTCCCCCACTGCTCTGAGTAGCCACAATGACCATTTTATTTTCAAAATAAATGAGCTCATTTCCACCTCAGGACTCTACTGTTCTCTGGAGCAGGAACTCATTTTTCCATTCATCATTTGGGTCTTTGCTCAAAAGCCAACTCCTCAGAGAAGTCTTCCCTGATTATGTGCCTAATGCCACCACAACCTCCCCCACTCTGTACTTCCCACCAGTCACCATCACTTTACCCAGTTTTATTTTCTTTGTTGCAATTGCTTTTAATGGAAATCATACCATTTGCTTTTTTGCTTGCTTACCTTCTGTCTTCTTGCTGTTCTAGAAGCTTGCTGAGAGCAGGGACTTGGTATGTCTCACTCACCTCTCTTTTACCAATAGCCAGAAAAGCAGTAGTCATAGCAGCCTGTCAATAATATTTAACAAATGAAAGAATAACTCTGAAAAAAGCCTCTGTGACAATCAAATGAACATTAGTACATGTTGACTTTACCAGTATGTTAGCAACCACCATAAAAGTCTCTATTAAAGATAAGATTTCCACTCCAAGCCACCTACCCCATTCCCTAGCCTAAGAATTCCTCAGTGAGGAGGGAAAAAACCTTAAGGAAAAGATTTCAACAAAAAATTTATCCTGAATTGCTCTAACTAAAGATCTTTTGTAATAACTCATTTGACCTCCAAATAAATTTTAATGTGGTTTGGTCAAGTTTGGACTAATGGACCTTTAAGGTTCTATGATTCTATGACCTTGTGTAAAAGTCTGGCAATGTTACAAACGTTACCAGAGCATTTATTACTCACTCTATAGGAAGTCTAAGCTTCAAAGCTCTCCTTTTGACTCTGCCACTAACCTGATGAATAACCCTGGAAGATAGGTTTAAGTGTTGATTATTTATTTTCCTCATGTGTAAAATGGACATGATAATTCCTGGGTCCTTCAGAATCAAGAGACTTCAGAGTCTCTTACAGGTATTCATATAAATGCTTCATTAACTAATCCTCAAATTCTTTATAAAGCTGTTCATTTAAGCAGTTAAGCAAATCCTTGAATCTACCTTTTAATGTATTTAAGGTGGAAATGGAATGCTTCTGTAAAATAGCAAAATCCTACTTCAGAAATTGAAGGGGGGGCAGGCACGTTAAGGGAAGAGTAAAAATGAGTAAATTTTGCAGATTGATGAGTTTGTCTGGAGATTGTCTCTTTTGCTTCTTATGAATAAAATACACTCAACGCAGAAATAAATGCTGGGAAGTGCTTGGGTGGCTCAGTTGGTTGAGGGTCCAACTCTTGATTTCAGCTCGGGTCATGATCCGAGTCATGGGATCGAGCCCTGCATAGGGTTCTGTGCTGGGTGTGGAGCCTGCTTGAGATTCATTCTCTCTCTCTCTCAACCCCTGTCCCTTTCATCGATTCATGCTCTCTCTCCATCTCGAATAAAAAAATTAAATTAAAAAAACAAATTTAAATGAAAGAAATGCTGGAAAAGCAACAGTTAGGTTTTGGAGCTGCTAATTTGCGTGTTTCTGATGCTTCTCTCAAGTTCTCTGGATTTTATAATTTAACACCAGTGGCTGAACTCATGACATTCAGGCCTCCAGGAAGTATTGCTTTACAAACACATGAAAAAATCAGTGTCAATCTGAGTGTTGAGAAAATGCTTTTCTACTCGAAAATCTGGACACAAGCAGGGGCTCTTACAAGTCTTCGTGATGCTCTGCTATTTTACAGAACTTTGCTGGGTCAAGGTTTTAGCAGAAAACCATTAAAACCTTTAGCTTGCCTATGGCATAGTAGTACTGCTAGAAATAAGTATGTGGACCAGATTTGTGACTGTCTCTTTCCAGCCAGTGGATTTGTAAATCCTCACTTAAATCTCTGCACATTAAGGTGTAATACTTTGCATATCTGTCTTTTCAGAGAAAGTTATTTATATGCATTTAGAAGACAGCCTTATAGTCACAGTGCTTTAAATTCCAGCTCATCATTTAAATCAAAAAGTTATATGAAATGTCTAAAAGGTTTATATTTTGTTGGGGTAAGTTCTAGCTTTACAATCTATAAAATGTATTTATATACTAGAGATGAGTGTACATTTAAATGAGTAAACATTTATATACTAGAGATGAGTATACATATAAATGAGTATACATTTATATACTACATGCATTTATATACTAGAGAGATTTAAGTATTGATAGTTGGAAATTATCAGTAAATTCTACTTTCCACACTTTCTATTTTTGAGTACAGAATCTATTTCAATTCCATTAGCATTTATTTAGTACCCACTGTATACCAGATACTGTGATGACATTATTACATGCTGATAACATGTACCATCTGTCTGTGGATTGGAGGCATGCTGAGTATTGATTTCAAACTGAGCACAAAGTATGTGTTTGAATTTGTTTCTAATTGGGTGTACACCATTCACTATTCGCTTTGAAGTTTTATGGTTCTGAGTATCTTACTGATTATGGTTTAATACGTTTTATTCAGTTATTTCTGCTTCCTCTTATTTTTCAATGACACTCATGCTATTTATTCTTGCAGTATGCATTGAAAGTGAAAGATATGTCAAAAAGCCCCAAAATTCAATAGTTAAAAAATAGGGTGATCAAAGCCCTAGCGCTAGGCATCCTGTGGGTAGACTCGGGATAATAGAGAGGGGACAGTGGCAGTGGTGAAACATGAGTCATCTTGACAGAGGGTAAGCTTTTGATGGGAAGAGGAGCAGGCATTGGGGTGTGGCTATAGGAAAGGTTTAACTGTCATCCAGAGAAGGATAATAGGAAAGTGTCCCAAGGTCACCTAGGTTAGTGGTGTCCTTCCTATTCTCTCACTGATTCAGCTCTTGGCTTTCCTTGATTTCTACCTAACTGCTGCACCTTGCCTCCTATCTTGCCAGGAAGAGGCTAAGGTACATTGTCACTGCCTTTTTACTGAGGGGTAAGAGTATAGAAACTTGGGAGGACATATACTACAAAGGATGTAGAATCAGGTGTCAGAAGACCTGTCCGTCATATATATGTGGAACTTGGGATGTCATGTCCCAAGTTTGTCATTGAAAAAAATGAACACACTGGATTAGATGCCCTGTGACAACCATTCCCCTCCCAGTTAACCCAGTCACAGATCCTTCACTGGCTATGTACAATAACTGGAAGGCAAGCTTTGCAGTATGTTTAAACTGTGTAAAACCATGTACACATACACACGGTTTAGTGAGATTTATTCTTAAAATCTTGCCTTTAGCTTTCTGTATTAAACCTAGTAAAAATGCTTTTAGCTAAATAGTACTTTAGAGCTAGACATTATTTGAGGAGCTAAACTTGTCTTTAAGAGCAATATAATATATTTGCATTAATTTTCTTTGCCTTCTGGTGAAAATGAAAATACCTCAGGAGAAAGAACAAAGAATTGCTTCCAACTTTCCTTTCAGAATCTCTTATGTTTCCTGAAGAAAGGCTGATGGTTTGGGTTCTAGTGCTCAATATCTGCATTTCAGTGGTTTCAGATGCTAAGTCTAGTGGAATGGAGCATTACAGTTTATGTGAAACCTATTTAAGTCAAAATTCCAGGCTCTCAGTTTTATGTAAGACCCCAAGCATTTGTAATAATATTTTAAAATGTATTTAAAAAATCTTTATAGGTAACTGAAGCAATACAAGCTGTTCTCTTGGCAGAAGTTCAACAGCATATGAAGACCCTGAGTAAGAAAGCAGACAACACTCAACCAGGGTCCATGACAGAGGACGTTCACTGTGCGATGAGGCAGATTCTGCAGAAGACGGAATGGACCCGGGAGGAGTTAGAGTTACACTGTACTACAGACACCTTGCCTCTGCAAAGTAAGTGCAAAATTTATGGGCATGCACTTTCATCAGAACTTTCCTACTACTTAGAGCGCATTGAGAATGAGTTCACAGTATATCATTTCTGCAGGGACCGAGCCAAGTGCCCTATTTCTGACCTATTCTGCTATCAATTTCTTCTTATAATTCTCAGGTTTCTTAAAAACTTCTAAATTCTATTATAATCAGTAAATACTTACCAGAACAAAAATTTATGTTGTTTATTAAAATGTTTTTAAGTGAAGTGATTAAAAAAGAAAATAGGATTAACAGTAATAGCTTAAAGGGATATATATTTTAAGAATACCTTGATAATAGTGGGTCCTAAATTTGTTTTCATTTGTTACCTTGATAATAGCTATGTGCCACGTTTCTTTTCTGTTTCTAAAAATAAGAAATGTAGTACAAACTGAATTTAAACTGATTGACAGGGGGACCATTTGATGATATAACAAATTTTATCATTGTAACTTCATGATGATAATGTGTATTGTTCATGGATAGCAATTGAATCTCAATTTCTGCTGTAAAATGTTACCTGATTTTTCAGTCTATTTGCTGGGACTTAAAAAAATAAATGAAACACAATTTTAAAAAGTACAAATATGATTTTCAACCTCACTTAGTAAGCTTTTGATTAACAAGTAAGTTTATGGTCAAATATGTATTTTTTTCAGGGAAACGTGTTACAAATTTATGTGTTCCAGGTTGTTAAAAATTATTACGTATTATTTTTAGCTGTCAAAAAGAGATTTTCTTTTTATTTGGGACTCAGGGAAATGGTGCCATATTTAAAATATTAAATCCTAGGACAGGTGTCATTCTTTTTAAAATTTTTTTAAATTTTTAAATATTTTTTAATGTTTTATTTATTTCTGAGAGAGAGAGGCAGCATGAGCAGGGGAAGGTCAGAGAGAGAGGGAGACATAGAATCCAAAGCAGGCTCCAGGCTCTGAGCTAACTGTTAGCACAGAGCCCGATGGAGGGCTTGAACCCACGAACCATGAGATCATGACTTGAGCTGAAGTCAAGACTCTCAACTGACTGAGCCACCCAGGTGCTCCCAGGTATCATTCTTAAAAATCTATTACGTTTAGTTCTTATTAGTTTTATAAGATTACTGATTGGATAGCATGTAGTGAGAGGGAAAATGTAGCAGAGAGAGGCTTCTTCTGGAAGGCCAATGATCAAAATAGGTAGAATATTTCCTAATGCCAAGACAGACACTGAGGATGGTCAATTTAATAAGCAATTTGATAAAGCTCAATGGCAATTTCAAGTTATTTGTTTGTCTGTTGTCCAGAAATTAGCTTTAATTATCTGGTAAATTCACCCAGTTGAACGAGCTCCTTTTTGATCATATCACATAATTGTAGTTGTATTACACCTTTCAAGCAAGAGGAGAAAAATTCCTTTTTAAATTAATTTTCAGTGAGTGCATGTGGGTTCTTGATTCATTGGGCAAGCACCCACAGTGTCATTAATACATTTCTTCCAACTCCCCAAAGACAGCTAGTATCATTCATCATGTGTTAGCTGTCATTATGTGGCATTTATATGCTTTATCCCTAAGCTTGAGTGTCTAACTTATCCTTTGGCCCATAGCCCTCTTTTCTTGGTGAGAAATTCATGGCAGGTTATCAAGGTGAAACTTTTGATAAGTTTTGCTGTCATATAGCTTACCTGTTATTTGAAATTTCACCAGATTGGGCCCTGTTCTATCCCCAAATAATTCTTGAGTATTAGAAAATACTATGGGATTTAGTCTTATTATGACTAAAGACATCTGGAATTTAAGTTAGATATTAACTATCTTAATATTTAAGATATTATTGATCATTATTGAATGATTGTTTGCCAATGTTAAAAGAAAATTAGGGTGAGTTTGTGATAGTCGGTAGATGAAATTTAGAAGTCTTATTTAATTTAGAAGTCTTATTCCCAAAATGCTGAGCACATATTTTTTTGGGAAATACTGAACATACTAAAATACTAACCACAATTGCAATTAATGGAAACATATACCATGCACTGAAGAGGAAAATTTACAAGCAATATTATTACCATTGGATATTAACATTCCATTTCTTTCTCTCTTTTTTGGAAAAATATATTTTTAAAATATTCAGAGGAACTTTGTAAAATTATGAGAAAAGTTTTGGACCTTTATTAAGTGGTATATAATATATTACTTGTTGAAATTAAAATTTAAAAAAAAATTTAAAAATAGTAAGTGAAAAGCTATTTTATTTATTTCAGATATCCTGATTCAGAGGATAAGGAGATGGTGTAGACGTGATTATTCCTAAAATTTTATAGACAGAATTTACTTCAACCCAGTGTCACCACATCTATCACCAAATATTCTTAAAAAAAATTTTTTTTTGTTTATTATTTTTGAGAGAGAGCGAGAGTAAGAGAGTCAGAGCATGAGTGGAAGAGGGACAGCGAGAAAAGGAGACACAGAATCCAAAACAGGCTCCAGGCTCTGAGCCATCAGCACAGAGCCTGATGCCGGGCTCAAATCCATGAACTATGAGATTGTGACCTGAGCCGAAGTCAGATGCTTAACTGACTGAATCACACAGGTGCCCCTATCACCAAATATTCTTATGATAAGTGGTTTATTTTGTTTTAGCTTCAGGTCCTTGCTCATTTGTCCTCTGTGACCTCTCATCCACCTTTTCCACCCTAATTTCTTTTATTCTTTCTTGGTTTCTTAATGCATTTTATTTGTATATTATTTGGAAAGTAACAGATGATGGCTTTATTATGAACAGATATTCATAAACTTATGAATATATGCCAAAGTGTGGTATATTAGGTTTATTAGCATTATAGCAATATGGCAATAATAGATTATAAGGAAAAATAACAACAATAACAATTATTGTTCTCTTAATACACTCCAACACTATGCTAAGTACTTTATGAATGCTAACTCACTTTTTCCTTTAATTCTCACATTATTCACACGAATCTTGCCTCTCTTTCCAAAATTTGAGTCATTTATGTAAACAATTTTATATTTTTTTAAGTGTCCATGTTCACAGAAATGAAGTTTCTGAGTAGCACTGAAAATAAACTACTCGCTACAAAAATTCCCATGGTGCTATCTAGGCTTATCCTGAGAAATTACCTGTGTACATTTTTTGACATATTAATTACGTATCTTTCTCAGACTCATTACAATAAATAGTATTTGGTTTTTTTTTTTTTAATGTTTTATTTATTTCTAGGAGAGAGACAGAGAGAGAGACAGCGCGAGCAGGGGAGGGTCAGAGAGAGAGGGAGTCACAGACTGAAACAGGCTCCAGGCTCTGAGCTGGCAGTCAGCACAGAGCCCGACGCGGGGCTCGAACCCACGAACCGCGAGATCATGACCTAAGCGAAAGTCGGACGCTTAACCGACTAAGCCACCCAGGCGCCCCCAATAAATAGTATTTGTAAAAATATTCTATCACTATGCCCGCTTTCTTGAATGCCACTAGTGGTTTATATCTTGTACTTTGAGACATTGTTCCTATTATGATCCCATTGTTCAAAAATGAATGAAGTAGGGCTTACAAGAGTCTATGTGCCTTATCTAGAATCACAAAATAAAAAATATCTGGCAAACCCAGATATTCTCTTAAACCCTGTGTTCTAATCCAGTAAACTGCATTTTCCATACTGGCAGCATGAAGGAAATTTGCTCTAAATCAGCATGATCTGAAAATTGAATAATTTATTGAGTGGTTTTCTTAGATTTTTATTCTCCTCTCATAAATCATACTTTCTATTACCAAAGAAAATGCAGAGTGTTCAATCATTGCCATCTCAGCCCTCATAATAAAGAAAATCACCAGGTTTGTTGAACTATTTGAACATGAGATGCATCTACAAAGCAATGGAAATCAAGTGAAGTGAGAAGTGAAGTATAATGCGCGTTTGAAGTTTATAATTTTGTACCTTATTTATTTTCAGTGTTTTCACTTGTTAACATTTCACAGCATGTATTTTATTTAAGATCTTAATATTTGTGTATCAGTATTTTATGAGAGAGTGCTGGATTTTATCTGGGTTAACATTTTTATAATAGTTACATTGCTCTCTTCCTTAATCTGCTTAATAAGAAATCATAGAATTAACATTCAGGTTTGAAGTTAAGATTCATTGCTTTAGAAACAGCAATGGTTTCTATTATTAAAATGCATTAGAAAGTTATTTCCTTTTATTTTTTTTTAATGTTATTTGGATCCGTTGAAACAAGTGCTCTAAATTGTTCCATCAAATAAACTGGTTGAAATAGAAATGGAGGCTTTGTATATAAAACTGCCACTTGGAAAATTATTGGCTGAATTTAAATTCATGTTAAACTGTGTGGTTGTGAAAATGATGCATCAAATATGGGTACTGCAAATAATCTTTATTACATGCATTGTTTTCAAAGACTTATCTCCAAAATTAAATAATGAAAATGTGCTCTTTGTTTAAATAAAACCATGCATTTGTGGAATATAAAGGTAAATAAATTCAACAGAAAAGTTTTCTAGTACTGGTGGCCATTGGCAGAAGGACTGGATCAGGACAGGTTTCTGCCTATTGAATTTCTCAGAAGGAAATCTGTCTAGTGGTGGAAAGGCTTTGATACAGAGTTGACTGCCTCACAGAGAAACTTTCTTGACTATCTTTATTCATAGCAAATGCATCTCGCACCCTCTGTGAGCAACCCAGGCTAAGTGAGAGGGCCAGTGCATTCCTCTTTAAGGCTACGGAAGCCATTTAGTAAAGGTCTGTGTGATGTGTATAAGCAAGAAGCAGAAAATAATGGGAGATATATCATTGAAAGCCTTGAGTGTGATACTAAGGTCTTAGGCTTTCTCTGAGAGAGATAGGAAACAATTTGAGCAAACAAAGTGCCCGTATTTTAATGTCGCTTCCATTTCCAGGACCAGGGAGAGAGTCAAGGATACCAGTTGGGAGGCTATTATGCTAACCTACATGATGGCAGTTTA